CCCCAAAACCCCAAAACCCCAAAACCCCAAAACCCCTTTAGTTAGAAATTTGATTGAATATTAATTGATAAATTTATTCAACAGAGTTTTGTAAGAATCATCGATCAATTGGAAAATGTTACTAATAAGTTTTCATGCACTTTCTTCATTTGCAAATCAATATTTATGCTTTTTAAGATTATCAGGGTGCCAAATTCGCACTTTCTTCAAGTATCATTTACTTCAGCTTAATCTTTGTTAAATTTGTCTCGTCTAAAATAACCTCATCTCCTTACCTTCTCCATAAATGTCCAGTCTCTGGTAATGATTTCTATCCTTAACTCTTTGGTACAGATACTGTCCATATTTGCCTAAATATCTAAAATCATTGAAGAGTTGTTGGTCAGTCTTATTCTCCCTCATCATATCCTTGTTAGCCATAACTTCTTTATTAATAAACTCTACTTCCAAGTCTCTCTTCTTCTTGTCTTCTTCTGTAAGATCTCTTTCAGACTCTATTTGGTAACAAGGGATTTGAACCTGTGACTACGAAGTATTTTTGCAGATTTTCAAGTTTCATTTTCTTGAGAGGGAAGTCTTTAAGCCATGGCTTGTGTTTGATTAAGTCTAAAATTTAAGGGGTGAAAGGGAGCGGAAGAATTAGAGTTTGCTGAGCAGACTGGGTTGAGAGAATAAGAATGACAATTATGTAAAAAATGTCTTCAATTGCAATTTTTGGGAAAGAAGTATAAATAAAAGCAAGTATAATTTTCCTAACTTTCACTATACCAAACAACACTGCATATATTGCAACATTCACACACTCTCAGCACACCTTCAAAATTCCCTTACCTTCGATCTGTGCATTAGCTGGAGATTTGGGCTTAAGCTTTGGCTTAGCTCAAGGCTGAGGTTTTGAAGGAGCAGCTTTAGGCTCTGAAGGATCCTGAGCGGGCTTCTTAAGACCAGATCCATGACGAGTGGGGTTCCTAGAAGGGGTGATAGAGAAAAAGTACGGTTTAGCAGCAGGAGATGAGAAAATTTCCTTATTTTAGTTTGAAGTAGTGCTCAATTTTGTTGATTTTTATACCTCCTGTCTTATTTAAAAGGATCTTTTAGCTTCATAGTTGGGATGTTCTTTTGAGAATGCTCTTTGTATTCATCTGAGAATAAATCGTATCCGAAGTTTGACTCTCTGCTTATTGTTGGTTTAGAATATTCTGAGAAATCAGGAGTTTCAAAGTCTAAATCATCAGGTTTTGTTCTATTCTGCATTTTAAATTCATTTCGAAGCATTCTCTTCTTTTCTTCATTATCTAAGTGCAAGTCATTTGCCTCTGAAAAATGAAAAGCTTCTTCTGTTCTAACTTGTGGAGTTGACGATTTATGTGAAGATTCTTCTGGTTCAAAAGGTTCTTTCTTAACCTCTTCTAAAAGCTCCTTAATATCTTTGTGAAGACTGTCTAATAGGATAGAGTCATTATTATGAGCTTTATTTTTAAGAGTTGATTTCATTTCGATGTTAAGCTGAAATAATTTTGGAGTCTGGTTCAGTAGAGGAAGTTTTATTGTTGCACTGGAAGGTTCAACTCCTTGATTATTCTGATGAGTAATATTGACTCTATCAAGGATACTCCTTCTTTTACGATTAAAAATGCTATCTGATGATTCTTGGTGCTTGGGCTTTATAAATCTATGAAACTTTGCTCTTTTTAAAACACTTCTTGATCTAAGCTTCACCTTTTGAAGAGTATCATTGATTGTGTCATTTTGAGTTATGTTTAAAGCTGGAAGGGTAATATCATTTGTTGATTCTCTCTCATCTACAATTTAGTATTAGGTTACCTGTCATTACTGACTCATCAGTCCTTGCAGATTTATTTCTGTCCCTTCCTCTTTTTCTTCTTTTTCTTAACAGCACATTTATTTTTCTTCTTAACCTCACTTCCTTTCTCCCTTACATTTCTATCTCCTCTCCTCTTTCCCTTACTCCTCTCTAAAATTAACTAACTTATCCTCCCAATTTCCTACCTTCCTCTCTCCCCTTCCTTAACACTGCTACAACTTTTCTAAAATTCTCAAGATTCTTCCCATCCTCTTCAATCTTCCCACTCTCTAAATCCACACATTAATTCTCTCCATTCTGCACTCAGCCGGCTCAGCCCAGGCTGAGCTGGCTGCAACAGAGAATTTGGGCTGGCATTTTTGGACTCTGAATAATAGCAGAGATTTTGACAGAGAAGGAAACAACAGAGAAAGAAAAAGATGGTGGAGAGGATGAGTAGCTGAGGGAGAAGGGGCTTTTGGGGGTCAGAGGATGCTTAAAGCGGTGTTAAGGCAGGGTTTTTTGGATGTGGGGGTGATGATTTTGGGAATAAATCAGAATTTATACTCAATAGGGAAATTCATTGTACTTAGAGCAATAAATGGTTATTAATCAAAAGGTAAATTCGTTAAGGATTTTAAATATAAGATATTTTTACAGAAAGTGTTCGAAATTTTCTAAAATATTACATAATATTCATAATTAAGAGAACTAATTAAGTAAAAATTGTCTCAGCTTTCTTCAATTTTTATACTGTAAATTTTGTCCAAACAAATGTTGCCAAACCCAATTATAGAGCTACAAAAAATCTAGATAAATTGACGCACTGACTGAGGTTTGCTTGAACACAATCTTGTTGAGAGGTATTTGAAAATGTTTGTTTTCATCTTCCATTGCTTATTTTAATATTCAATTGGATTATAAACAATAGGGGTTTTGGGGTTTTGGGGTTTTGGGGTTTTGGGG